GATGGTTGTTTGAAGTCAGAAATCAACTGCCGGTTAATAGACTCTTTTGCCGTATGAATATACGTTGCCCAGGGTGCACCACGTGGAGGTAAGTCTATCGCACACTCCTAGATTCACTCATAGAATGTTGTGAACGAGCTGTCCTTCCTCCTAGTGCATCTTGAAAAGTTGCAGATCCAGCATTCTTCCGAAAGTTCAAACGAGTGCATCTTATGGGAGAATTGTTACATCGAGGGTTTTTATCGAAGCGCGCTCTACTGCATATACGAAGAATTTTTCTTCACAACACAGCCTCAAATAGTGGCGGTGAAATCTGAACTCCATGTAACAAAGTTGTGTGTGTGTGTGTGTGTGTGTGTATTTCATGAATTCCATAGGTTTTAAGGGAAAAACATTTACGCAATGCTAACTTCCTAATTATATGAATACTAAAATTATCTTGGATTGTGTATTTCTTTTCATCATTTGATCAGTTTGCCAGTATTTACAATTTTTGACGCATAATATTGGTGACAAAGGGCTCACTAAATTTGAATTGATCTTATCTTTGGCGCCATGTTATGTGTTATGTGTTTGCACCCATATATATATATATATATATATATATATATACATTTGTTTTTGTAATATTATCACACAAAATAATCCTTATTCGTTTGGTGGCGGAATAGGTAGCCTCCATCTGGAATCGCATAAGTTAGGGAGATTGGCTGTGAAATTATTGGTGTTAATTCCATTGTGTACTTCATCGGAATACACTCGGTGGTTGTGGTATCTAATCAAATCGAGCAATACAAGGTAGTTGAATGCGATGTTTAATCTATCTGACGTTTCCGGCGGTTGGGTGGGCTGTGTCGGGTTTCTTTGTTATATAAGTATTTAAACTAATCTCCACCCCCTCCCAACACCCTTGGTGACTAATCTTCCCATTGTGAACTATGTTGACAGTGTTGGGGGGGGGGGGGGGCCGGGAGTTAGTTATTCAAACAATAAAATATACACCGATGTTTCCATTCTGGACAGTTGGATGATTGCCAGTATCCTTCGTAAATCCAAGTCTGGTAGAACAATGACTCCTCAGCCTTCTGTCTTTTCTACCCTTTTTTTGGAAAGCGTTTTTGAATGCTTAATTCGGTGGAGGTATTCCTCATCTCCTCCCGCCCGCCTCCCCTTGTTGAAGTTGGCTTATTGCGTCGAATTCTGTTCGTCTTCTCTTCAACAATTTTTGGTGTGATTTGGAGAGGGAGCGCGTTTTCTCATGAAAATGTGTCCAAACGAATGTTTCATTGGCTTTCACCTTCTTTTCACCTTTTAAGTCTGCAAGTATCATTCTACCACAAGGTTGCCTACAGTGTTTCGTCTAATATTTTCTTATTTTTTTTTAAAACTCACCTTATCGGAGCATAACTGTATTTGAGGGAGAATGGCTATCTCTTTGATTGCGTTCAACTCTTTTGTCCAAGTTTTTTTAAGGATTTTCTGCTGTTATATCTACTGTTTTGAATTGAAGCTGATTTTCTGAGTCTGATGAAAGTATACCAGACGCAGGTAGCACTACAAGTTCTAGCCATCGTGTTGAACATTTTTATTCCACCTTGTCTGTCTACTCCCCCCCCCCACCCTCTCTCCCTCTCTCATGATGTCAATTAATTTCCATCATGCATTTAAATTTCACTCAGAGGGCAGAGGTGCCTTGTCGGCACTTCACACCCACCCCGTTTTCCCCTCAAATCCACTAAGAACGTTGGAATGTTTTTTGTTATTTCGTGTCCTTTCTTTGCGAAAAAGGAGATTTCGGGTATTAGTTTCCAATGTATTTTTCATCAGAAAAAATTTGTTGGAATACGATGTGCTTTTTGTCATCATTTGAATCCACCTCCGAGTTAGTTGAGGAGTGGGTGAGCAATGATGAATGCGACAAACTCCTCGCAGAATCAATTCGACCTTCTTTTTCTATTTCGCTGCGAAGAAATCTGCATCCATTCGCTTTTTTTCGAGTTAAATGCAAAGTGCATTTCCTCTATGGCCTTCTTCTAAGGGCGGAAATCGGGTTGAAGGTTCTCCTATCCCCTTTGCTTTTAAATAAGCAAAAAGCAACAACAACAACAACAACAGGGGTCATTATTTCTTAGACGCGCCTTTGAAGTCACCAGCGGTGAGCGATTATCCTTTCGCTCTACCATAGTACTTTTTACTTGGTAATTAGTAGTATTCCGACTGCAAGATGATTGCGTACTAACATACTATTTGGGGGCGGGGCGGAGGAATATGAGGTGATTTAATGGTTTTTGTACTAAATTCTACTTGGAAATTCAATTTTTTGCACCAGTCTTCTGCCTACACTTTCTTTTGTCCCGCTGGACTCCACTATTGAGTTTATGATCTTGCGTTTTTAATGCCTTTTTATGACAGTCTTTGAATATCGTCCTGATCGTGCATTTCGACATTTTGTTTTGGCATTGCCGTTTTGAGATCAAAACAACTCGTTTTTTATAACAAATTTTACAACTTTCCAATAACTAGACAAGTTTTTGAGCACTTGAGCGTGTGAAGGGGTCTGCATGAGGATCTTGAAACAGACTGTGTTAACACATGCATATCTGGCAATTTAAGGGTCACGGACTCGATCAATGGAATTTACAATCGTGGTGCTCCTTGGAGAGGTGTCCCCAACTGTAAATCTCCTGCATTAACCTTCATGATTTCCTCGATCTTGAGTTACCACAGGCCTCACGGACTTTACCGGTTAATACTCCACTAAGTGTTTATCCAACCGGTCTACCAAAAATTGAGATCCTTGAATAGATAACGAAAAACAAAAATGGTATGGAAACTTATGCACCCCTGGAAATTAGGGAAAAAAGAACCCCTCCCCCTTTTCGCATTTGGAATAAGTTTTTCTTGGCGTCGCGTTTTTCATCCAGGTGGCTTTTTTGATGATATTGTGTAGATAACAAGAAAAAGTTGCCTGTTGATATCATTCATTCTTCTTTCATTCGTTTATCTATCTATTTATTTATTTATTACAAATGGCAGACTTTATGATAGTCATCATTAACTCCTTAGTTGACTCCTGGCTTCATAGAGGGGAGAAACATCAAAGTCAAAAAAGTCGAGAGTGGGGTGGAGTGGGGGGGGGGGAGGGAACAGAAGATTGATTCACAAATGTAAAAGAGACAGACAGACGCAAAGGCAGAGGAAAGGTAAAGTGAGTACTATGAAAGTAGTGGAATATGACACAGTGGGGTCATGATAGCTTGAACTCAGAAGTCAATTGCTGGTTACTAGACTTTTTTGCCGTATGAGTATGCGTTGCTCAGGGTGCACCACGTGGACGTTTGCTCCAAATTTGTCTTTCTATCTAGGCCAGGTCGGGTAGGTAAAGGAGCTCATAGGTGTCGGAGGGAGAGAGGAGGAGGAATACGCCTGGGAATAAATTAGAGCATCCCAATAGCGACTGACTGAAATTACTTTTTAACCCCCTACGTGTGTGTGTGTGTGTGCGTGTGTGCGTGTGTGATTGAAAGCTATGCATAACTTCTTACCATTCTTTCAAGGTCATTTGTGTACAGTAGTTGTTATTAAAGTGTATATTTCCTTTTTCAAAAGATCTGTGGTGGTTTTTGTTTTTTTGCTGCGTTTATTCTGCCAACCCCACAGCTAATCGAATCTAGCGAATTTATTGTTGGCAGGCTTCGATGCAATGTCTTTTGCGACATTGTTCCACCACCTCCCCCTCCCCTCCCCGCCCTCCTCTCGGCATGTAAATTTCCGGTTTGTTGCTTAACAACTTAACTCAATTATTTTATGCAGGTGAAAGATAGTGGCTCACACTTCTTTGCTGTTTTAGCACTCTTTGCACTCTATATATATATTTCAAATGGCGGGTTTTATGACACTTCTCATTAGCCCTTTAGCTGACTTCGGGCTTCACAGAGGGGAGGAGGAACTTCGAAGTGAGAAAAAGTGGAGAGGGGGAATAGGTGAATGATTCAAAGATGTAAAAGAGACAGACAGGCACCAAGGTAGAGAAAAGGTAAGATGAATACTGTGGAAGTGGTTGAATATGGCATAAAGTGGGGTCATGGTTGTTTGAAGTGAGAAGTCAATTGCTGGTTACTAGACTTTTTTGCCATATGAGTATACTTTTTTTCCAGGGTGCACAGCTTGAAGGTAAGTCTATCGTCCACCCCCTCTTTGCATATATATAGTTTAGTCGGCCAATGGCCTCGAAAGTAAGCCATTTTATTCAACCCACAATTACTTTCCTTTTTTTTTCTTTTAGACAAACCGGTGATCTACACGGCGAGGCGAAAGCATGCGCAAATCTCAGTACCTGCTTCAAGATGATCGACAAGTACTCGGAGTCCGTGTTTTGTGCCAAACGACAACTCGAAATTTGCCGACGATTCAATGACATGGTAAAGCCACCTAACGTACTCCTACGCCCATTATTGTCCTCACCCTTCTTTTTACTACTTAATTGGGTGAAAAATACTTTCTCCAATTATTTCTTCCCCTTGAATTCACCTATTGTCTCAGTTTTTAACTTGAATTGGGGGAAATTGTGGAGGAGATGATGGGGCTGCTATTTAAATCGAAAACTGTTGATTGCCATGTCAACATCCTCAAAGTCTCTCTATTGTTTTGATGGCTGAGGGGTAATTGGTTGAAATTTAATCTTAGTGCATTGTTTACGATACATTTAGTTGATCATTCAAGGGGAATGGGTGGGGTGTTGGGGGGGGGGGGGAGGTGAGGTTGTACTTGACGCAAGAAGAAGCCAACCATGCTCAGATTGCCGGGCCTTGAGGAGCGTTTATCATTAATGCCTAATGCGACCCCCCATCTTGTGATTGTAACACTTATTTCGCTTCTAGCCTGCAATAGCCCGAGCTCTGCACAATCTAGGGAACGCCTATCATGCCAAGGGACGTCAGTTTATTCAATTCTCTGGTGTAGACCATCTGGGGGAATTCACTTCTGAGGCGAGGCAGGATCAAGAAAGAGCTCTCGCCTGTTTTCAGTAAGTGCCTTTCTTGTTCTTATAAAAAAAAACCATACCCAATTATCGATTTTCTTGACTTTGTGGTCTCCTTGAGGTGAATCAGCTTCTCTTCTTTGTTTTCTGTAATTAATCCCTTGGGGGTAGGCTATTCTATTGCAATCCGTCTTTGAAAACCACAATCATCATCATCATCTCTCTCTCTCTGTGAGTAAAGCTCACTCTGCGTGTAACGACCAAGTGGTTGTAAAATATTTCACTTCCAATTTGCCCATCAGTTGAATGCGCTGCGGCCGCCCCTTTTTTCACTCCTTCATGGTAATTAATAGAGCCACGCACGAGGGGGTGGGGGGGGGGAGGGCTAAAAATTAAATGATTTCGTCACTTTTACCAAATTCTCCCCCACTCTGTGCATTCGCTGTTTCAGCCTTTGAATAAAATGCTAAGGAGGGGTGGGGAGGATTTGGGAAGTAAACTGGGGGGAACAGTATGTTGCCCTCCTCTCTCTCCTCTATGTTTATCTTGCATTTGAGAGTGTTTGAATTGTTCTACCTTTAATCATTTCATATTTTTATGTACACTATTTCTAATCCGCGAAATGACAACCTGAAATTTTCACACATTAACATTCAGCTTTTTTTCAGCCATCATTTATGAGTTCTAAACTTTTCCAGAAATATGATTGTACCAAAAATAAAAACAGACCACAGTCTGGTTGAGAATGAGGTTGAATTGAGAGGAAGCCTATTATCGACTCTATCATCCATTCCATGTGGGTAGACTTCTGGAACCTCCTCCAGCCATTCTTTCAAGAAATCCCCTCTCTTCCAACCCTTTTTACCAGTGCGATGGATCATTGGCTTGCCAATCAAGGGACATCAATCTCGTGACCTCTGGGAGATTTGGCCGGTGTTCGGGCCGATCACACTTGTACTAGTGCTTGACAGCTTCAAAGCTGTCCTCTAATCTGTTAGTGTGGCACATTTTCGCTCTCTCCTTCTGATGTCTATGCCCTAAATCCGTTCAAATTTTGTGTTTTGGGGTTAAGTATAGCTTCAGATCGCAGTTCACTTTATCGAACTGTGCGACTGTTTAGAAATTTGATTTTCTTGAAGAAATGAAAAAACGATTTTAGTAGTTATCCACACTTTCTATTACTTGGAAAGTTAAAAGACTTCACTCCTAATCTCCAAATTCATTAATTCACTAAAGTCACGCACATTAACCATTTCTCACGATTAGTTGGCGCTCGTTGAAGCGGATCTGCTCACACGCGTCTATCTCCATTTCTCTTGGAATATTTCATGCTTCAGATTTAAATTCAATTAATATTATTATTATTATTAGGCAGAAAAGGGAGCGGATTTCGACGATAAATTATTGATATCTGGCTGTCTACACGACCGCTCGGAATTGTTTAAGCAGAGGCGTCTTCATGATGCTGATCTTAGAGGGGGGAGATAACAAAGAGTTCTGACTGTGTAATATTTGCTGAATTGCTCCTTGATTCAATTGTCGTGAGGACGGAGGGGTGGGGGGGGGGTTGGTTGGTGGGTCATTAATTGTTTTCCTATTTTATCTATTTACTGCTCAAAATCGGGTATTCTCGATTGCAATCAATGGCTTAAGTTTCTTCGTTTCTTTGCAACTGGAACAGCGGTTATTTTAAAGTATAATTTTTTAATAATTGACTAGAAAGGTCTTTTACTTGTCATTAGCATTATATCCTATTCAATCAATCCTTTTACTATTGATTTATATCCTGCTTTCCTATTTGAAGATGGGTTCTTTACTAAAGTACTTTTCTGTGTTTTCCCGAGAAAGCATTTCACACACCTACACACTTATCTTTAAATGGTATGTTGCGAAGACATTGGTAATAATTATACTAATTAGAAATCAGCGTTTGGCAAACAGGCTTTTTTCATTTCACTGTTAAGGTCAAACGTGTCGTCTCCACCCACAAAGTGGGCATAGAGGATGTCAGGCAGATATTGCACGCTTCTTTTCATTGCCCAGGGTTTAATGGCGTTATTATTTCCTATTTTCGATCAATCGCTCTCTCAGATCAAGGATGATATCAACGTTGCCTGAAAAGACTCTAATCGATACGCGAAATTCAGGATGACGTTCTAATTTTGACAATTCTAGGTTAGCCATGGAAGAAGTATAGCAGAAAATTGCTTGTCCATTGTCAAATGTGCAAAGGCACTTGGGCAATGTATCGCAAAGAATGGAATAAAATTGGAATTTGGATGCTGCCGAACCAACTCTCCCAGCAAAACAGAGCTGAGTGGAGAAGCAGGCACATTTCTCTGTTATCTTCGTAACTACGAATTCGTCTCTTTTAATGGGGTTGAGAAATTGTTAGAGGCTATCTCCAAATATAACCCTTATTCCGTTTCCTTAAGCGAAGCCCTGATTTTGGCCCTTCAGAAATTTCTTCTACTCGTTTTATTGGACGTTCGTGGAATAACTCATTACAGTGGATGGTTATGAAGAAATGGGTCCTTTTATTTTTGTTTCCCAACTTTGCATCTGTCATTCATCTTTATAGGCTCCATGCCTTTCTATATTGATTTTGCTTTGTCCCTACGATATTCTCCACTAAGCACATCTTGGAAGCACACCCCCTTTCAACAATTCTCAGAGTAGCTCTCGGCTATTTTGCAGCTTTTTTTCAGTCTGTTGAGCACTTGATATCCCAGTCAATGTGTATGTACCAACTTGTGCGATTTTGAGTTTAACGCGTCTTGAAAATCAATTTATATGGGGCAAGTCCGCCCCACCTTGCCCCACCCCCGCCTCTCTCCTCAGCCCATTTTAATCTTTTATTTTTGTGTTCTTCTAGGGGGTGGGAAATAAATTAATATAAGTTGTCACTTGTGTATGCGCGGCTTGAAGCGCCTCCTCTTTGATCAATTATTTGCTTTGTAGTTGGATCAAATTACATCCGATCTAGAATCATTACGTCAGTAGCACAGTAGGCTATGGCTCTCTGTGTGTTTGCGTGCGTGCGTGCGAGCGTGCCTTGTTTCTAATACCTTATTAATTAACGGACAATAGACGGGCTTGTTGTGATCTGATCTGCCCCTATGTATTATTCAAAAAGGCCTGATTCGGTTTCGGAGTAATTTAAACTGACTTTCTGTTAGGAGTGGTAAAATCGACCATTTTGCCGAATGCTATCGAATTTATCATTTCCCTTGTTTATTGATTTATGTGGGCAATTTGTGGCTTTCAGTTTAAAATCTTTGACAAATTTCATTAGTGCCATTTGAAATGATATTTTGCTTTTATATTTGACATCTTTTTTAGCCAATTTCGTGAAATATTATTTTTTTTGGAAATCGATGGTAAATATCTCACGCAAACGTCATTACTTATGTGTTTGTTGTTTTTTAAGAAACCGCGATTATGTATGAAAAGTCTAATTACTCCACGCGGGTATTTGTATTTTGACCGGAAGAAAAATGGTGAATCGGGTTTCGCCTGAATTCCCAATTCTTCGCGTTGGCTTCTTCTTACCTTAGAAGCCGAATTCTATGTGGTAGGGTCTGCCTCCTCAGTATATCTGACCAGAACGTTTAAATCGAGTTCTTATAGTTTCGTCGATTTGGCCTACCCTTGTTGAAGAGTAGTCGCTGGCGTATTACTTCTGTAATTCAAATAGGTTGCTCAAAATGGATTGCTCTTAATTGGCTTAGAAATACTCAATTCAGTAGTCACTCTCAAATACTCCTCTAAGGGGCGGATAAGTTGGTTTGCCTCAAGGTGATTTATGCATATACACCATTTTGTCTCTAAGACAACCCTCACATTGTCTCACTTTTTTACTGCTCTTAAAACTTCTCATCTGTGCAATACTTCTAGTTGCTTCGTGTATTTATTTGGCGTTTACAGACGTTTAAGTTGATCATTGCGCAAAATTATTTGATCTTGTTAGAGCGTGGAGGGGAGGGGAGGGGAGGGTAGGAGGTGGGGGGTAGGAGGGAGGGAGGGAGGGAGATAGCAGACACGCCACTACGTTCTGCTCTCCTTATCTCCCTATCTTGTCCTATTGTGGTTTTTCTGTCGTATTTGTATACGAGTCACGCACACATCAATTTGGCAACTAGCCAACATTGATGTGACTCTGAAGGTGGATCGATTTTTTTATTCACTCGCACTCCAGCTTGATCCTTATCTGAATGGCATCTCGAATTTTTACTAGAAAGTTCGCCATCTCCTCGTTTTCTTGAGTTTCAGTTCCCTTTTTTCGCCTATTTTATTTGTTGGAGTTTTGTAGTAACACAAGAACCGAGGTGAATCATTTGGGAGTTTCCAAATTACGTGAGGTAATATAATCGAACCAGATTGTAGAAGCCTAAAAGCATAAACAGGAGATGATAGTGAAAAGCAGGACTTTGAATACATAGAGGTTATACGCAGGTCTAGGATGGAGATTCCAAGTAGAAAGAGAGGAAGAAGAGAGGGAAGGCAAGAGGGGAGATAGGTGACAAGCGTGCCTGCATATTTGCAAATTATGGAAAAATGGCAATCGATAATCTCATTCAAGTCATAGGGACAATAAAGGTGTCGTCACTGGCTTCGCTATCGTATTGTCATAATTAAAGTTGACTAAGACCCAATTTCATGAAACATGGGGAATCGTCCTTCATAATTCATTCTCAATAGGTACTGTTTTTACTGGTGTATACATCGTAGCAGAATGCCTGAAATTGAGTTTTCATAACTGTGGGGTGACGATGCGAGACTTAATTAAGGCGGAACTTAATTGGAATTGACAGTTGCAAAAGGTAGGTAGGTAGTATTGAGCGGTAATTTGCATGTAGTAGTAGTAGGGTCAGACTAGATTGGAACTTGTCAGTGAAGCTGGTTGTAGTGGATGAGCGAACGAGAGTCAAGCTTGTCTTTTTCTGCTGTCCTCTCATGCTGCTTTGGTAACGGCAAAAATAAAATCTGATCTTTTTTATTCTCGTTGGGTTTCTTGACTTTACTAGAAATTGGTGCCGTTTTGAACTCTTCAAATTCGATTCGTAGAACATTCTAAAATAATGAATGGAGTCAATTTTCACCATTCCGTAAAATATGGATTGCCAACTTCATCGTGGTCATTTTTGGTCATTCGAAGCATTTATCAGTCTTCACTACGTCAATGGAACATTTTTCGATGGAATTATAGAGTTGCAACCAGTAAACTATTTAGTTGTGGCAGTCTTCTTGTAGTGTCAAGAAACCGAGACATTGAGTGCCAGTCTAGTTGCTGTTATTTACCGAGAGGAGGGGTGGGGGGTGCGAGAGACTTATCTCCATGTCATGCACCTTGGGCAATGTATTCTCATATGGCAAAAAATTCTATTAACCGGAGGTTGACTTCTGACTTCCGACTACCATGATCCCACTGTATGTCATATTCAATCACTTCCACAGTACTCGCCTTACCATACTCTCGACCTTTGTGTCTGTTTCTTTTACATCTTTGAAACATTCTTCTGTCCCCCCCCTCTCTCGACATTTTTTCCCTTTGATGTTCCTCCCCTCTGTGAAGCCTGAAGCCAATTAAAGGGCTAATGATAACTATCAAAACCCCTGCCGTTTGATATAAGTAAATTTACCGCGAGGGTAGTAGAAAGCAGATGTGAGAGGCGTCGTGGCTACTTTGTGATTTTACGGTATATGCACTTTTAGATAGGAAATGACTTAGTAGGTGTTTGACCTGGCAGGTCACACTAATTCAGTTAATTGAGACCTTCAAGTCCTCCCATATTTGCCACAGGTCAGGTTACTTTATTTGCTACTTGAGGTCACAAAGTAATATCAGGTGTCATATCTCTAACAGTAAGGCCGGATCGGAATTTTTCAGCTATTTACAAGGAAAATTAGGTATGTGAATATTCGTAGTGAACAGTGCAATCAATTTTGCCCCTAGGCTTGTCGTATGAGTGGTTGTAGAGTATACTGTCCAGTAACAACGCTTCCCGTAATTGATCTTTTGTGCCTCAAGCTCCTTAAAGGTGACCGTTTCCCAACCCAACATGATTATGATGATTATGGGGGTTATGATTATGGTTTGATTTACTTACCTCCACGTAGTGCACCCTGATCAACGTATATTCATACGGCAAAAAAGTCAAACTGCCACGACTACTTTCACAGTANCGAGTAACCAAAGATGTGTGGGGCCTTGCGTTATCAAAGATGTGTGGAAAACAACACCCTTCCGATTTGATAATGCCGGCCGCTTATCTTCAATTGCACCCTTCAGTTTTTCGAGTTGTTCAACATACACATTTGAATTTATCGTTTGGTTCTGCGGCATGAGTTCAAAATACAAAATTCCTTTGTGATCCCACCAGACTGACAGCATAATCTTTTTTGGTGAATCTCTGCTTTTGATACTGTTTGGGCTGGTTGATCTTGCTTCACCCATGATCTCTTGCGAGTAACATTGTTATAAACTATTCACTTTTCGTCGCCAGTAAGTAACTAGGTTCTTCAGAAATGGATCATTCTCATTCTCATTGCGTTTCAGTAGCGGCGAATCACAGATGCTAATCCGTTGCGTCAAATGAATTTCCTTTAACTGGTGAGGGATCCATAAATCAAGTTTCTTGACATAACCAAGGGTTTTTAATTTTTTTCAATGCATGTATGCGACACATTGAGCTTCTCTGCAATATCTCGTGTTGTGCTGTGACGATTTGAATCGATAATGGCCTTGATATGGGTTTCATCCACTTCGACTGGGCGGCCAGATCGTTGTGAATTTTTCAGTGAAAAATCACCGGAACGAAATCTTTCAAACCAATTTCGACATTGCCTTTCTTTTAAGGCTTCATCTCCATATACGGCACATAACTTCTTTTGTGCTTGCGATGCGTTCTTGGCTTTTCGGAAGTAATACAATAAAATGTGTCGGAAGTGGACGTCCTGTTCTTTCATTTTTAAATTGGGATAAAACAAAACAAAAGAACTAAACAAAAAAATTTTTTTACTAATTAACCTAGAAGCCCATACAGTAAGAAAAAAATATAGGTTAGATGCTCTGGCCACGTTAACAAAACAAAAGAAAGTATAGAGTGAATCCGTCAACAAAAACGGCAATGACTTAGTTGCCAACCCATTAATATGCTTTCCCTTAGTAACCAAAATTTTGTTCACCAATCAATGATTACATTAAATGACTTTTTAGAGAGAACTTGACACTTGTCTGCAAACTCGGTGATAGGTCATCTGAAGGCCGTGCCTATGGCAACCTCGGTAACACCCATTACCTATTGGGGAACTTCCGGGAAGCGGTTGAACTCCACAAAAAGGTAATAAGCTTCTCACTTCATGACTTCTTTATGTGATCTTCAAATTACACTTTTGCTTAATCCATTGAGTCCCTTCATACTGGTTGTCAGAGAAGGTTAATATTCCAATTTGACACCTACTGAAGTGTTGCTTTAGTGAAATGTGAGCGCATTTCACGTTTTAGCGTCTTCAAATTGCGAAAGAGTTTGGTGATCTTCGGGCACAACGACGGGCTTACAGTAATCTTGGAAATGCCTACATCTTTCTGGCAGAATTCGGTGCTGCAGCACGGAGTTACAAGTAACTTTCCTCTCTCCCCCCAATACTCTGCATTGCCTTCCATTGTTGGCAGACTCAGACTTCTTTCTTGTTTCAGACATGCCCTGGGCATTGCACGTCAATTGGGTGATGAAACGCTGCAAGCGCAGGCTTGTTTCAGTCTTGGTCACAGTTGTACCCTCCTGAGAGATTACTCAGCAGCCGTGGTTTACTATCTGCGTCATCTGCACTCCGCCTGGGAGGCCAAGGATTTGGTGGGTCAGGGGCGTTGCCAGTGGTCACTTGCCAATGTCTATGCAGCCTTGGGTGATTACCAACGTGCTTTGAGGAGCTCCTTACGCCATAGAAAAATATCGATTGAGGTAAATCCCCAAAATAATGTGTTCGTTTCTTTTTAGTCAGATACTTCAACTAAGTGCCTGATTATTGCATTTACTCTCTAACTTCATTGATTGCTCGTTTTTTTGTCTTTCCTTAGCTCAAAGATGAAATCGGTCTTCTTGCATCTGACCTGATGATCTCCGAGTTAAAACGAATTATCACTGATTCTGACCAATCAGATTCACCTGTTGAGGGTCTCTCCAACTCACCTAATCGTCTTCAAGCTGCGGCTGAAGCCCGTGCTCTTGAACAAGTTCTCCTATTCGATGCTGACAACTCTCAAGGTCAAAGTCACAGTCAAGCCGGTTTGACAGTCCTCGCTGTATCTCCTTCTGCAACTACTACAAACAGCTTTAAAGTTGTGCAACCTTGCCAACTTGAGGTTCAAGCGCCTTTGGAACAGATTGAGGAGCTGTGTGAACGTGAATTGGATGAAGAGTTGTCATTGGCAACTAGTGCAGCTATGACGGTTAGGCAGAAACAAAAAGAGAGCAGTCAGGAGAATGGAACAAGTGGCGAAGGTGTGGAACTACTTTCTTTGAGTGAAGAAGATGAAGAAGACTTTGTTGTAGTCATATCGCCCAGTGAGCCAGATATGAGTAATGACACTCACTATAACCCCGTTAATGGTAATCGTTGCTATATATATACCCTACTTAAATCCCTTCAGTAGATACGTTAATTATTTATTTTCATCCCGTAATAGACCCACCAAATCAATCTCCAAATGCTACGAATCAATCGGATTCGAGTGAACTCTTGCTTGATCTACTTTTCAAGTCGCAGGCTTTGCGAATGAATGATCAGCGTTGTGACTTGAATACTGTCACCGACAACAGCAGCAGCAATATTGATGGGAATGGATTTCCGAATGCTTCACGCGATTCTTTAAGTGGAGAGAATGACTCCTTCTTGGAGCTTCTTATTAATCTTCAGGTGGGCCACTCTCTATAATCACCTCTTTCAACCCCCCCCCCCGTTTGGTAATGTTGTTTTTTACTCTGAATTGTGGAATGACTCGCTCATATTCTGTATCCGCACTTCACTTTGGTGGCTACAATTGTTCTACAATTGTGGGTTTCTTTTCTTTATTTTTCTGTAAAGTATGATTTCCTCTAAAGGCGAATTTTTTGCTAAATTTTCTTGAACTGTCTCAGCTAGTTCCAAGTACTTTGATGGATTGAGTTGGGAGGGAGCGTGGGGGGGGGGGGGGGGGGGGGGGGGGGGGGGAGGAGGGCGAGAGACGTTTCGAATTACATTTTGGCTGGTGATATTTGAATATTGATTTCCATTTGTCTCCCTTCACAGGGTGCTCGAATGAATGACCAACGTGCGGAGTTTCCAGGTCTGATTAGAACAACGATTACGACGGATGCCATACCGAGTGCCATTTCTTCACCTATCGCCAATAACGAAGATGTCTTTGGAAATGGGTTGCATAGAAACACCTTACAAACCTCTTCATCAAATAATGCTGCAGCTCATGGAAGTGCATCTGGAAGATTGAGGAGTGCTAGTGATGGACTCACTGAAGGAGCTTTATCTGCCGGTATTGCCTCTTCTGATCAGATTCCTTCAGCCGCTGATGAACTTGAACCAGGCGATGACTTCTTCGATATGATCTTCCGCTTGCAGGTTCGTGATGTATTCATGATTGGTATATGATGTTGTAACGCTTTACTATCACATCACACGCCCTTTGATATCACCTAGCTTCAAATGTCTGTCAACTTGCTATATTTTGCAAGTAAAGATATCCCTCGTCTTCGTTTCTATAGTCTTTTGCCACAGTGCTGCTATAATAAGCTATTTTCACTAGACTTTGTGCTATGAATTAGAATTGAATTCAAAACATTGGATTTTACAGGATTCATTGCATTTCTTTAGTCGAGTAAGAGAAATTGAGTGCCATGGTTCAAATCACCACGAGAGCCCTAATTTCTGCTTTCCATATTTGAGCACTTCTATAATTTATTTGTAGCAACGAACACGTATCAACGACCAGCGCTCAGTTTTACCATCTGTTATAAATAACACCAACGGCCACAATAATCACCACCCCCACCACCACCAACATCCAGCCAACCCCAATCACCAAGACGTTCCCACCATCATCAACACTCCTGCCAATGATAATTCCAACGGTTGTCATGGCAATGGCAACTGCAACAGCGAGACTACACCGCATGGGTTATTGCAACGTGTGCTCTCGGTACCCGGGGGAGGTAAGAAGAGACGGCGACCCGGGAATAGCAATCCTGGAGGCGCCACTACAAAGACCTCTGTTGCTTGATCATGTGTCGCACTTCCCCCCTCTCTCTCCCTCCTCCTCTCTGTTCTTTACTCCCTTTTGCGTTTACAACTCTGTATATATCTCTCCCTCCCTCCCTCCCTTCCTATTCCTCTCTCTCTCTCTAGTTTTTTTGGTTGTTTCCACCTTCCCCGCCCCCACCCCCCCCCTCCCTCCTACCCTCCTCGCGTTTGGTTTACTTTTCGGAAATTGCGAGAGTACAATTTTTGATTCCCATGCCTAATAGTTTTCTTTTATTGAGCGGAAAATGCTTGCGCTTGCCTTTTTTGTTCTCCTTTTAAGCCTCTTGAGTATTCAGCGAGGAGGAGCTTATTGTGATAGCCATTGTTGTTTCTACTTAGTTTAAAATTTTATTAAGTAAGTAAACGACGTTAGGACTTATAGAGGCTGTACAAGCGGCCGGTATGATTAGCAAAGTGTTAGAGGTATTGTACAGCCTATTGGAGCAGAGTGGACCAATGGAGAGGCCGTACTGAGAGGTCATTGGGGTTATTAGGTAAATAAGGCTACGTAACCGTGGGTCGCTATCATTCATTCATTGAATTTCATGAAACTTATTTATTTATATCAAATGGCAGACGTTTTGATAGTTCTTGTTAGCCCTTTAGTCGACTTCAGGCTTCACAGAGGGGAGGAGGAACATCAAAGTGGGAAAAAATTGAGAGGGGGGGGGAACAGAAGAGTGTTTCAACAATGTAAAAGTGACAGACACAAAGGTAGAAAATAGGTGAGGTGAGTACTGTGGAAGTAGTCGAATATGACAAATAGTCGAGGTGAGGTGAGTACTGTGGAAGTAGTCGAATATGGCATACCAGTCGGGTCATGATAGTTTGAAGTCAAGAGCCAACTGCCGGTTTATAGACTTTTGCCGTTGGAGGCAAGTCTATCGCACACCCCTGCCTTTCCCAAATAATGTGTATTAATGAGGATCTATTAGACCACCCGCCTACATAGAGGACCTTGAAAGCTTCATGCGGAAGGAGTCATGAGTGTTTTTGTCTCTTATTCAATATCGAAGGCCGTTAAAGTACGGTGCTAGCGTCCAGAAAACTTAGTAGTGTATTAACTAAGCCTTGAAGCCAAATACTCACAATTTCTAGCACGAGACAGGTCACAAAACAATGGTGAACGAACTGAAAGTGACATTTAATCCGAATGTACCCAAGCTTAACCATCCAATTTTCACTTCGTGAGGCCATAACAGCCACCTGCTTTCCTTTTAAAATCATCAAATTTATTGGAATAAAAGAAGCACTAACAACCCTCTTGAGCTTCGTCGATTTCCTCGACAAATTTGCATGATCCCTCTACGTACTGCCAATAATCTAATTTAAATTTTATGTTAGCAGAAATGGATTAGCGTGTGCCGATTGGCATTCACACTATGACTGAGGGTTAACAATAACATCTCAATTTGTTTATATTTCTGTATTCTATAAATATTTTTTTTATTAAGGAAAGTGGAATTGACGCATTTACTGGGGATCCAATATGTAAATAAAGTAAAAGTCAGCAACCTATTCTAGGAAAATTATTGACACTCTGGATGGTTTGATTGGCATCACTTCAGATACTCAACTAAAAATTCATCCCGTTGGTTTTTAGCCTTTAATTAACATAGAGCACTAATTCATTTCCTCCGGAACATACACGTAGACTCGAGGATTAATTCGTTCGGACGCTGATTGAATCAAAACATATGGTTTTCTAATGTAGACTAAGCATTTTGTTACATTCTAAAAAGAGGAAAATTGAGTTCACACTGTCAAATGTGCAGACTACATTGTGGATGCTAAAATACGTGCATCACAGATATACGCCTATTAAAGTGTTTAAATTAGTTATAAGTGGATGATATATATTTATATATCCGTAGGATTGAAGCAAAGATGAATTACTTGTTTAAGATTTTGAAGTAAACTCCATGTTGGGGAAACTGAATCCAACATAGCAGGAAACAACGTAGCTCTCCTGTGACCATAAAAATATATTAACTTGTCGAGAGATGTGTTAACGTCCTCTTAATTTACTTAAGTCTAAACGTTAGCACCACATCAACCTGTTCCCTTGGCTATCTTTCCACCTCGCCCCGTTCAATATACTACTTCGAAAGTCCGTTTTTGATGCCATACCTCTGAATACTGTTTATGTGAGGTCAGATTCTGACGTGCTAGATGAAAACCCATTACTCCTTATACCCTCTACTTCGGTACCTTTGCGTAATACCAATCAACTGCATATCTGCCATAAATATTCGAGCTCGGAACTCCTTAGAACTGCCTGAAGGTTTAGCCGTTTGAGGTCAGTGCATTTTAAATGAAATCAATGAGGTAGAGATCTCTGTCCTCCAACCGAAATATTCTTAGCACCTATATGTGCAGAAAATGATTCAGTTTGTCAATTACAACAATCCATACATATTAGACGATCGAAAAGCAACGCGGAGAGAAGAAGACGAAAATATGTTAACTCATACATTCAGAAGGGGATTTACCGATCTAGATCAGTCTGTATTACGCTAATCAGATTAAAGATTAACAAAGAGGACAGATGCGTTGATTTAAACTAAGACAAAGCTAACCAGTTGAAGTAGAATTACTCTGTGGCTTAAGATCGCACTTATCGGTGAAATGGCCGTGTCCCTTGCTAACTTAACAGAAGCATTCATGCCAGACGGTTTTCTTTTAGCTTACTTGTAATGAAATTCAAAGAAGAATATATCAGAAAATTTTCCCTATCAGTCTGACAGCCAAAAATATTAAGTGGAGATTCATCTATTATAAGCTAAAATTTCCGTAACAGTAACATCCTCGTAGAGTTACTTCATAAAGTTAAAAACAATAAATGGTGAAATTTTAACATTCTGACGGGTGCAAAAGCACAGACAAAAGAGTTAAAAATAGCATTCAGAAAATAGACATCTGTAAATGGAAACATCTATAGATACGCAAACCCATATTCGTAATAAAATGCAAAGGCGGTTTAACTTTAAACAAAGAAGTTGAATTATACAAAAGTAAAGAGTAGCGAATAGTAACATTAGTGAGACCATGTTATTGCAAACCATACGATGCAATCGCATCTAACACACACACATACACACATAGTGACACGAGGGAAGTGTAAATATATATCGATGGAGAAGTGAAAAGATGTGCTATCATGAACAAGAGAATGAGTAAAGAAGAATAGTTCCAAATCCTGACTGTACAAACGAAAAACCAACTAATCAATGAGCTTCTTCGATTTAAAATAGTTTCGAAGGTAGATGACTTGCCAAACAGCCAATCCGATAAGGCACAGAATGGAGAAAAGTGAGAGATACAAAACACGACTGTGAGTAGATGCTAAAAACACAAATCGAAAATGTAAGTAAAAGAAAAATAGATAGGCGGAAGGTCAAAAATAACCAACCATTGATATCTCTCATAGCATCAGCTCTTTTGTGCATTGAAACGAAGTCCCGGACAATGGAGTCGGTATAATATTCCACTTTCTTCAATTCGGCTTCGAGAGGTTTAAGGTTCTCAGGATTCTCAGGACCATCAGTCCTAACTTCGTCCTCCGGTTTGATATCGAGAAAGACTTCATGAGTATCAACAGTTCCACTAGATCCCTTAGAATGGAAGCAGACATCGAAAGAATCCTCAACTTCAGAAGAAAATGTAAATTTTCCAGAAGAAGCGCCTAATTTTTGAAAGAAAGTATGTTGCTTGCTATCTTTTACAGCGATAGAAACTTGACTAGTGGAACCACCAGTGATCTCATAATTCCCAATGATCATTTCATCCTTATTCATCTCATCGTAGATACATCTTGTCTCACCGGTTTTTAGTTCAAAACGCAAAGCGTTTGAAAATGTGAAGATTTGTAAGGTTAACAAAAAGCAACACGCAAATGGTACAAGATACCTCATGACACGCAAACAATTAACACGTACAACAGACAATTTAACCAGGGCGCTTCATCAGTAGTAGTATGTTTAAGTCAATTGATGATTATATTATTTTAAATATATTTTGCATAGCATGAACCACAAACTGTTCATTTATGATTAATTATTTCCTCAGTAGTGAATTTTAGATTACTTTGCCAAATGAAAATGATTAATACTGCCTAATAATGCAACATATAATTTATAAAATGAAGAGAATAGTAACTTGAAAACACAATGAATTTGTAAATTATTGATATTTTACGTTGCAAATATTACTTGGAACATAACATTGAGATATTACTTCAAATTTTATCGTAATCGGATCGATCCATCTACTAAGAGTTTTACTTTAAGCTTTCTATTGGTATTACAGCAAAGATAAGCTTCTTAAACACCCAAGTGCCATGGCCTACATCATATGCATCTATATTGGTTCCAGTAAATCATGTCCACCATTGATGATAATGAATTGCATTTATATATTGGATTTATCTATTTTTTCTGTAATTTTCCATACTTTTTTCGACAAACAATTAGAGTTTGCAGCAATAATAATATGAAAAAAACCAAAATAGTGGCTAATTTTGGACAACTGTAACAGCTCATCCCGCAATATGTATAAGGAAATGGTACTTCCTTGAATTTGATCAATGTCAAGATTACATGAACAAAGTTATTTCAGCGAAAAAACACCCTTATAATGATTAGGAAAAATGTTTGGAATAATAATTTCATTCGAGAATAGATGCACTAAATGTCGCCGAAACCTAATTTTAATCATTAAAACACTAAATAGTAAATAGATAAAAATCGAATTTAAGCAAATTTTCGACAGAATTCCGTCTGAGCAAAGTATGGAGGTGGGACTCTGCTAAGTTTTAATATAAGTGTGCTGAAATTGAATAAATTAAGTCCATAATACGAATAATAAATCGATCTAATGTGAATATTTTCAGAGAAAGAAAAATAGTTAATTTATTATGATAAAATCATTCAGTTATGATTTTGTTTGTTAAAGTTAAATTAATGTGCTCCAAAGGTTGCCAGATTTCGCATCAATTTGAAGGAGGATAGGTTGAATAATTTTCTCCTTTAATTTCACCAGTATGACTTCTCGTGCAAACGAGGAAGAAATTTCATTTCTTCGGACAGTAATATATCTAAATTTATATTTACGCCATTTCTTAGGATGACTTTATCTGTCTAAGCTGCCTCTCACATGGCCTCTCCGAACGCCTCTGTATGGGCGCAGAAGGATTTGGCAACCGAATGTGTTCCTTGGAGAGCATTGCCAAAGAGGTATTTTAATTTGAAGCCAAATTAAATGATATTTTGAAATGTGTTTACTTGGTATTTTTATTATTTATTTGAACACACACACACACACACACACACACACACACACACACACATATATATATATATATATATATATATATATATATATATTAAGTTCAATTAGTCTTGGGATTACCAATTTCGACGTTTTCTATTAATTTAGGTTCCACCAGCGAATATGCCTCCTTGCATATTCATTTTGGAGCAGGCGTTATCAGCAAGAGCTCTACAGGAAATGCTTTCTAGTCGAAATGAGCTATCTGATGTATGAATTCCACATACTTAGTATTTATATATAATATGCTTAAAATGAAATTTGCTTTCCTTTTTTAAGAGCCGCACATCTGGTCATAGAACTTTACTTTACGGACATGCAGTCAGACTTAAACATCGCAACAGTAGCATGGTAATTAGAACTTCAGATAATTACTTCATAATTATTTCGTTACTTCATAATGTAAATGTTTATTTTGATTTTTTTTAGTATTTGGCTTGTCTTTCTACTAGCTCATCCGAGGATAAACTCGCATTTGATGTCGGTCTTGAACGAGAGGCAAATAGTGAGTGTGCTTAAAAAATGGCAATTTTGACTCAAATTTTGAAAGAATTTTTCCTATCGCATTCCTATCGTATTGCAGGCGGTCATGGGGCCCAATATGTGATTTTATCATATACCTCCTTTTCATATATTTCTCTCCCCTTCACACTTTTAATAAAGTGCATTTTGGATTAAATTAACTGGAGAAATGACCTTAATTAACCATAAAACATCACTCGATTTAGTTTCATCATTCGCTTGAAATCAAATTCTTTTTTTGGCCAAGATCAAGCCACTTGGTTTATTTGAATTATATTTGTTAAGAGCTAAATTGGAATAATCCAGCAATAAAAAGAAAAACATATTGAATTTTTGGATTTTGTTTACGTATACTTGCTATTACCTGAAAATTCCCCCAATGTTTTATTTCTTTCCTTAAATAAGGTAGTCTCTCCTGTTAGGTTGTTTGGCATATTTCATCACAAACACCGTTTCAACTAAAGTTTGTAGTATGGTTAAGTTATTGTAGTATCATTTTATTCCATTTATTCATTTATAATGTTCATTTTCTAATGATTCAGAGGGTAGTTATTGGCGCCCGTTCTCACATCTTTCTGCCAAAATATCCTCAAATGAATTTAATTAATAATTAATAATAATAATAATAGTAAATTCCCCTTTCGCTTTCATCTTTCATCCTGATTGCCTTAGTTTTCATTGCGTCTAACCAAAATACGTCCTAACAAAATTTTAACATTTTGAATAAATGCTTCTATTTTAGGCAAAAATATAGCCTTTATCAGAATAGGAAAGTCATGTTTGCTTAGATGTTAATCGACACATGTAAGTACTTTATGTGCTCACCAACAACTAATGTTTCAGCGGAAGCTTGCTGGTGGACAATTCATCCGGCTTCGAAACAGAGGTCCGTGGGTGAAAAGGTTCGTATTGGCGATGATCTCATTCTCGTCAGCGTGTCCTCTGAACGCTACCTGGTATGTCCATTAACCAAGATTTCCTTGTTTAAAATTACATCTACAAATTTTAAATAAATAACCAAGAATTATAATTAGAGCTTTTTTTAATGAAATTGACTATTTACAACTTTATAGGTGAACTAGATTTCCCTAAGAATAGAGCCATGCTTTTTAACCATATTTGTCATCGCTCAGAAATGCTGGAAAAAATATCTTAAAACTATCTCCTATTTCATTCTTGTGAATTTTTAAATTTTATTAGCTTGGTTCAGTTTCTGCAGTTTCGGGCAAAAAAAAAATAATTTTAAACCTTAAAACTCCCTTTACCTCCCCTCCCC